AGCTATCAACCGATCATCACCTTGTTGTTGGCACCCTGCGCTGTAAGAAATGGAGTACCATACGAAGATCTGGTGGCAGAAGCAAAGGGGGAATCAAATGGGAAACATTGTCTTCGGTGGATATGAGAGCGAAATTTGCAAACACCATCGCACGACGGTTTGAAGAGATCCCTGTGGTGACAACTGATGTTGAAACCATGGCAGCTCTTTAAGAGCGGCATACTCGAGGCTGCCGCCGAATGCTGCGCATATAAACGGGTTGGCCTGCCGCCTGGAGGTCAGGAAAGATCTTCATGGTGGACACGAGAGGTTCAACTGGCAGTTAAAGAGAAAAAAGCAGCGTTCAGGAAATGGCTTGGAAACAAGGAGCCTTCTAATCGCGTGCGATATGTCGAAGCATGCAAGGCGGCAGCCATAGCAGTGGCAAAAGCCAAGGCTGATTCCTGGAAGAAGTTCGGTGAGGTGTCGGAGTCGAATTTCCACACGGCGAACAAAGTATTCTGGCAAACCACCCCCGCCGGCTCCAAGGTAAAAAGACGGACAGTCTCAGAGTCTTCAAGGACAGAACTGGACACCCTCTTACCAAGGATGATGACATTCTTCGGCGATGGATAGAGTACTTTGAGGAACTCCTTAACCCCGCGCAGCAGGGAACGGATATTACTATCTCTGTTGAAGAAATTGTGAAAAGGTGGAAAAATGGAAAAGCTGCTGAAATTGATGAAATCCGCCCTGAGATGCTCAAGGCATTAGCCAAACAAGGCATGTGCTGTCTTACACGTGTGTAACTGCGATGACTATGGGAAAGACATCAGTGGACTGGAGAGCGGGGGTTGTTATACACTAGTTCAGTAAGGAAGACCACAGGGAGTGCTCCAATTATAGCGACATCATGTTACTGAGCCTGCCAGGTAAAGACTACGCAAAGCTGCTAAAAAGGAGGTACCGCGGAACAACTGACTGCCAGAGACAGGAAGAGAAGCGTGGCCTCTGGCCCGGTCGAAGCACCTCTGATCATATATTTGCCCTCGCTAGATTGTTGAGAAACCGTGGGAGTACGCCTGCCCGGTGTAAATGTGTTTTGTGGACCTAGA